ACGTAGTTTCTCGATCTCGGGACAGTTGGTCACGCCATGACCCGGCTGTCGACAGAAGAAACACTCCGCAGTCCGACGATCTCCAAATCGATTTCCACTCGTTCTCCTAGGCAAGCTACACTCCATGGAGTAGTGACCAAATTGATTACAGCGATTACACAGGCCTCTCGCACGAGGACACGTCTCTCGACCACACCCTTTTCGTTCGCAGCGTCCGCACACCACTTCTCCTTCTGCGGTACGAGTATCGGGGCCCATACGAATGTTGGGAGGCCTCAGTTCAGCACTCACCCCGCCATTGGAAGGACTAGTCGGTTTCGGATCGTTCGAAGCCACTGCGCCTATGTACCCATCGCTCGTTCCAGAATGTTTTTGCACGTTCCGATTTAGCAGTTGCAGCTCTTGAAGCACCTGTAACTCCGTCGAGGGTACATTCTTCGTGCCCAGAGGTTTCATTCCATCCTCAGGAAACTCATCGTCTTCTTCGATAGGCAGGTGGGGATTCTTGAACAACAGAATACGACAGGCTTGCTCAATAGACCCAATCATATTACTGTTCAGCACCGCTCGCATCTGTTTGTTCCTTATCCCTTCCAATAAGAACTCGTACCTCATACGGGGTTCGGGTAAGTTCAGCGCGTCGCATATTGTCTCGAGTCGATCACCCCATTCTTCAGCCGACTCGCCTCGTTTCCTTGCCGCCGTCTTAAGGCGGGTCCAGGTTTGGGCCGGAGTCAGGCAAACGAACCGGTTGTGAAATCTGGAACGAAGCGACTCAAAGTTATGGATTCTCGAGTTGTACCACCATTCTTGTCCCTTCTTGCCCTTCAGACACTGTTCGAAAGCCGTCAAGCGTAGCTGGTCGTCCATGCCCATCGTACATTTCTCGAACGAACGCCAAAACGCCGCAGCTCGCTCACTCGAGGCCGTGTCCGAATAAAACGGAACGATCACTTTGACTGCGTTCCTCAATTCGTTCGGGATTCCCACCATCGGAGCTAGCCCTCGGCCATAGTCATGCGGCTCACGTCCCGCATGTTGGGCCACGGGAGCAGCTGGGTGAGGCGTCGCATATCTCGGGTATCGTTCTTTGTCAAACCCCACGTTTCCACTGAGTCTCGGGTCTCCTTCGTGACTTTGGAACGGTCTTTCGTCGGTCGGCTTCGTTCCCCAATTTAGCGTTCTCTCCGGTCTCGTTCCGGCCTGCATTGAAGGCGTAGTCATAGGCGTGGACGGGTAAGTAGGAGGCATCTCAATGGGGTTCCAACCCGGCGGTAACATCGGACCAAACGAATTCAAGGACGAATATTGTCTCGACGAGCCATACGCACCACTACCTTCGTACGTTCTGGGTGCTCGGTCAGAAGCCTTCTCATTCAAGGGGATGGGAGTCGAGGGTCCGCCGGTTCGAACTTCAGGGTTAGATCGATACACGGTTTCTCCTCTCCCGGGACTACGGGTTCCACTCCCCGGGGACTCCATCAGCCGATCCAGCTTGTTCATAGAGTATCGAGGCGAGGCCTCCACCGTTCTTGACCCTTGGTCTTTCGACGAAAAGGGTTGAGCCCCCAGGGACACACTTGACCTAGCCATTTGCTGCATGGCCTGGCCGATGGTGTTGACGATAAAGGCTTGAAGAGCCGGGTCCACCGTCGCCGTCCCTTCGCTCGTAGGCGTCGTTCCGTCCCTATCAGGGTTCGTTCCATGACTCGTGGGCATCGTTACTCGGTTCACCGGCGTCGCTCTTTGGCTAGCAGGCGTCGTTCCCCGGTGTACCGCCGTGGTTGGAGCTTGCGAAGTCGCACTGGACGCCCAGTGATGTCCCACTCCGCTCACCGGTTCAGCTTGAAAGTCAGTCGTACTTCGAAAGCGCGACCAAGATGCAGGAAAGTCGCTCTCATTCAGCCTTCCAACCTCCTCCTCCCGCGGGTACTCAGCTGTCGTCGCCGAGGGCGCCTCCCGCCCAGTCTCGTCCACGTGAGTTAGCGACGGTCGGGACGGTATCCAGCGAGAACGACACTCCCCTTCGCGTTTCAGAACTCGTCGTCTCGGTCTCTCTTGCCTCCCGTGACCGCGCCTGCTCCTCTCTGGGAGTCGGTCGATCCGCTAGAGTCCCGAGCAACGCTTTAAAGCTGGCCCTGCCCTGGGGTGTCCCCAACATCGTCATGAACATTTTTCGGTTCTTCTCTGCTCGTGGTGACGCTTCAAACAAGCTTTCGTCGTCCTCCTGGGCCGCTCGTTCCCTCAGCCCTTCTACCGCTCGTTCCGTTCGGACCTCAGTCGTCTCTCCGGATCACCATGCGTTCGGGGATCCACTTCGCCGCCTTCGCCTTCCTCAGCTGGGGCATCAGCGATCTGGTCCTCGTCAGCATCCGCCAGGATCCGTGCGAGGCGCTGCTCTTCGTCCCCTATTGGATCGTTCCAGTTTAGAGAGCTCATCTCGTCCCGGCTCCCTTGCACCTTCGCCCGTGTACTTCGGCGCTAAGGTTTTCCAAGCGGCTCTCTCCGCTTCTTCTCTATTGCGTTCCTACGAAAATTGGCTAGAAGATACCCTGCTTCTCCACCAAATTGTCGCGGTCTCCTTCTCTTGTCGAGGGCGTGTATCTTGTGAAAGCCAACGTCGGAACTTAGACGTATTAGATGTGTAAAATATACTTGTTTCTTATTTGTTTTCTTGAGCACTTCTCGTAAAAGTAGGAAATTCACGACTGAGAGCTCTCTCACCAGCTCTCTACCTTACCAAAGTACCTCCTACCAACACTAGTACCTCTAGTTGTCGTTCGTAAACGGAGTCAGCGTACCATTGTCTGAACTCCTTCGTTCCTTTTAGACTAGGGACGAGGTAGTCGGCGACGGGGAACGAGACTGATCGGGCCTGACACTCTTCTTACGCCGCTCGCTCAATTGCCGTAGGCAGTCGTCCAGAAGAGCGAGTCCTTCCTCTAGCCGAAGACCGTGACACCACCAGGAACCTCGTTCGTGTAGTACGTCGCTCGTACCCTGCAAGAATTCAAAATACACGGGCAAGCTGATTCGCGAGATGGAGAAGTGCATGTTACTGTACAAGGTTTATATAGAAAAAAAACACATCAAGAGTTTTGTCTCGTTGTAATTGTTGCATTCTTTGACAGCGATTCGTTATCGAAGGCGGTCATTGACGAACGTGTGGTCCCTTTGTACTTTTTACGCTGAATGCAGCTTCCTTATTTTTTGTGATAATGTGTGTGACTATTCATGTTGCGCTAGAGGAATTAGCGTTTCTATTCATGAAATGAAGCGTTAGATTTATAATAGATTCTACAATTTGTAAGATTACCCTAACCCTGATCAGGCTTCAGTGTGAGCTGCAAATGTGACGGAAGGAAAGCTGCTTCCGACTTACTTGTTGTTGTATTAGATCTTGGCCTAAAGTAACCTCCGTGTCTTAAAACAACAAAGCATGCAACTCTCGATTGCATGACCAATCGTAGCACATTTTCTACCCAAAAGAATGTAAAACCTCAAAAAAATTGAAGGTTGTTTTTTTTTCCGGAAAAAACCCATTATTGAGTGCAAAAAGAAAGTGAAACCAGACCCAAAATAATAGGATTTATTACAAGACTAGAAGTACTATGACAAGATTAAAATTACTATGACAAGATCAAAGGTACGAAACAAGACCTGTGGCAAGACTATTAATACTTGCACTACAGATAAGCATGTTAAGACATTACGACCCATTTTTTTGTCAAGGCAAATGTATCTGGCTAGCGTATCAATTGTGAGAACGTTCACGCTCGAACCTGCTGTGTTATTCAGCCAGTGTTTTGTGTAGTAGGCTGCGTACGACGGTAAGGTTGAATCGGCGGCATTGAGTGTGTAGCGGGGCTACATGGTGTGGAACACATAGGGTACGGGGTACCAGGAAAGTTAACAAACGCTCAGTACATAAATTGGAGAGCAAGCATACTCTCAGTACATAGGCTGGAGAGTTAGCGAGGTCTCTCAGTACGCTGGCTGAAAGCCACACGTGATCCATTTGATTAGGTTTAACTATGCTAGATAGTTAAAGAGATACATTTACCGCTATGCGGCTTGGCCGCAATAATAGTAAATAAAACACCTCTGGTTTTGAAATATAAAAGTTAAGGTATTAACTTTGAGCCCTGGTCTTGGGCTGTAAATGTCCTTTGGATAAGGAACTTAGTAAAAGTGACTCTTTCAGTCGAACGTCTTTCTCTGACGCTAAAGCTACGGCAGCCCCGCTGCACTTGGTAGTGGACTTGGAGATCTCTTTTGAATTGAGAAGCCTCGTACGTCTTCAGCAATAAGTTTAGCAACACTTATGCGACTAGGTAAAGCACTACTCTTCTTTCTGTAAACCGTTGTCCAGACCTGGATAGGTGGCGAGCTGCGTCAGCATTCCAATACATTTTGTAAATGTCTTTCCAGTCTTTCGCTGGTGGAAGAAATGATACTTGCGTTACCCTCGCCTCCTTGGCCGCAACCTCCTGTGTCGTGCTCTGAGCTTATGGTGTGCTGGTTGCATAATGGAGACAAGCATATTGATTTTGCCTTCAAGAACTTTGACGGAGTTTTCAACAGCTCTTAACCTCTTTTCCATTGTAAAGGATGGATGTGGCGCTGATGCCGTCGTGTTACGCATTCGTCGGGAAAATGTGGTAGGTCAGCCTACATGCGCATCACGATCAGGGGCTAATCAGTCCACCAGCTGGGTGTCTTCGTCCGTAGCGGCTTGGTCAAGTAAATAACCCACTAGAGTCTCCGCCGACTCATTTTGTGTCCATCCGGCCCACCACTTCACCATGCGCAGTGACCACCGTCGTTCAGGTGGCGCAGACGTAAATCTGTACTGCGCACCAGCGCGACGGAAAGTGTGAGAGGTAAACCATATATCGCGTTATTGCTGTCAAATGTACCCACGCGTTGACCTTCCATTACGATTTAGATATCGTACATCACAATTGAGCAAGGTAATGAAGGTATGTTCAGACATCTTCTTACCCCACTCAACTCGTGCATTCTGACAGCCTGTAGATGGGTCGTCTGTCTTGATAACACTTTTCGATATCTTGGACAGTGCCGGGAAAATGTAATCGTTGTCACTCCACTCGTAATCCGTTTTCGCTCATACAAAGGTCGACCACGTTGTCAATTTTGAGAGTACGTCCATTGACTTCTCGAAGTCATCGAGGTTGTGGATGTTGTAGCAGCGACCTTCTGCAACGTCTGTCTTCCGTCCTTCCAGCTTGTAGACGCCATAGGTAATGGACACACTAGGGTCGGCAGCACTCGGTCGCGTGAGGCTTAGGGTGAGATCCTTCCACCGGAAACTGAGTACTTCATTTATTCTGCACATGCCGTAAAAAGCGAACGCCGCCACAGTTAAAAACCACAAACGACTCGCTTCCGGGAGTCCGGACGGGACGCCTACGTGGGAGTGGAGTACTCGAAGCATATCCAGCTTAATAGGGGTGGCTTGCACTGTGTCAATTCAGTACTCTTTCGCTTCTTCAGTCCACGCATAAACTGCCGGACAAATGCATCCTTGGATAAATTTCCGAGTTCGTACTTGATACCTTGATCATCTGCAATAACTATCCACTTGTCCGGACCTGCTTCGTTTCGGCGCTCATAGCTGCCGTAGAAGTTCGCTTCTGCGGCCCGAATCTTCTTAACGATTTTGTTAGATACAGAGACGGATGCAGATACGCTTTCCATGAATGTGACAAGAAGCAAAGGCAACTCATAATGCCGAGCCGTTGCGGGGTCTGGGTACTCATTTGAGATACAAAAGTCACAGAACTTCTTGAAGTACGACGCGTAGACATCCCTTGTCTCCTTCTTAATCACATATGTGACAGTAGTAATCCCCCCTTGTACCAAGTCTTGGAATGATGTTGCTTGCGACGTCATTAGATTAAGGTTTTTTTACTTACCCCACTAAATGAATTGTGAGTCGGAGTGATCCTCGTCAACCCAAAGGATTGTGAGGCCTAGATCAATTCGTTTTAATAAAATACTTTTAGTTTTTTTGTCGTAGTTTTTTTAGTCCTGTCATAGTATTTACAGTCTTGTCATAGTACTTACAGTCTTGTCATATTAAATTTGAGAGGTCTTACATTAGAGTTGAGGTAAACATAAATTGGGCTGCCTGGGTTTTTACTCATTCTCACTATCAGAATCTAGACCATAAGTATTCCTAAAGCGGCGCTCGCTTGTCATCTGCTCTTCCTGCGCTTTCAATTTGGCCTCGTAAGCTTGATCCTTCTCGATAAATCCAGCCTTGTAGACTGCCTCGAACTCCGCCAGTGCTGAGCAGTCCTTGGCTTCACCAAAGCCATTTTTTGCGCTTGGATCGCTTGGATCGGCTCTTGTAGCACGGGATTCTCGTCGGGTACCTTCTGATACACATCCTGCCATGTGCTTACCTTTTCACGGTATCTTGTCTTGAGGTAGTTTTAATATTTTTGAAGACGTATCCGCTCTTCAAAAAGTGTGAGCTCATCTGCTGTAATCATTTCCTCCTTGTACGTACACATTGCCTTGCGTATCTCCTTAATATGCCGCGTTTGACCCTGCACACAGCTCTAACGGTACCCAATGGCTCTTGTCAGGGTGCAATAGCAGGTAGACGTTTTTGAACCATAGCTTTGACAATAAGTCTACGTTCTCCATCTTTAGCACGGTGCCTCCGTCAATATAGAGTATAAAAACTGCAGCTCAATAGACATCCCTTCGAAAAATGAAGTCGAAAAAGGCCGTGTTACGACTTATCACCTCTAATGGGTGCTTCGTAGTCCTTTTGGCTCGGGTTTAGGGGGAAAAGGTTCTTCCTGCAGCTCACATAGCTTCTGTCGGAGTTTCGATTAATTAAATTGTAAATAACATTTAACATTCACATTTCGCAAATATATGGCACCTTCAAGTTTCTTGAACAAATTACTATCGAGGCGGCTGCGCTACTCTCCGACGCTTGTCGCGGTGCTTATTCCACGACCTCTTCCAGATATCACTCTGAGAGTCACGCACTTTAATACCCTTGCATCTCTTCTTGTGCTTGGAGAAGTTCGTGTGAGATATTGCCTTCTCGTACAGCTCGCACTGCTTGGTCCCGGCGCTGCCGTAAGACGCCTTCGGCATGTTTGGGATTGTAATTGTAACTTAAGCCCTGAGTGGCTGAAATTATGTAAATGAGATATTTGATTCTGATTGGCTAAAATACTTTTGCCTGAGGTTGTTTTGGGGCTGCGTCAGTAAAAGAAGTCGGCTTCCGAGAGTTTCCAGGACCTGTGAACTGCCGTTGAACTGCAGTTCACAGGTCCCTTTGGCCTAAGTGAGCGAAATGACCAATTTAAGGTAGGTTCTAAGCTGTATTACTCTACCTCTTCCTCCTAGCGCTACCAGCCCAATCCTCTAGTAATACTTACTCTTATATCACCAATTATCATATACATACTATTGTGCATTTCAATCCTTTTGTCCTTTTCACTTAGTCTAAGGTGCGAAGCAGAGCGAAGCAAGGGAATTGTGTTTTCCACACCAGATGTTAGTACCGGTATACCACAGCTGTTCCGATATACACTGCTCCCGCTTGTTGCTGACCAGCTCTCTCACTTCGTATTTGGAAGAACAAGCAGCAAGCAGTCAATAAATACCCGCCTCTCCTCGTCCCTTTTCGGATCGAGCTGATGGTCATTGCATAAGCTCTCATTAATGTATTTGTTCGTTTGACCCCCAAGGTTTGTGGAAATGCTCTATTTATCCAAATCCACATCGATATCCGGTAAATCGACCCTTTTTGCCGTTCCGAAATGGTGATTCGATCACAGATAAAACAAATCAACATAGATGCAGCACACTATGATGTACACCGGCGAAAGATATAACTACACTTTTCTTTTGACATGTAAAATAAAATATTGGCTTTTGAATGATCTGGTAGCTCTACCTTAGTTTGAAAGCATTGAACATATATGATTTGTAATTTCTTACGTCTAAAAACATGGTTCGGGTGACCAGTTTTCCTTTTTGGGTACCGGTAACTTTAGCCAACAAACTCCAAATTGTCTAGGGAGTTGAAGCAGTCAAATGTCTTGAGATCGTCGATAATGGCGCTGGCGCATACTTTTGGGTTTTCCATCACGAGGTTGTGCGACAAGTTCTCCAGCGGGGAATGACTCGTGTAGATATTTGGCCACCGTTGTTCCATTTCGCGAAATATTCGTGTGCAAACAATTTCGAGCGACGTCCTCCGTGGAAGGAAACTGGGCACGAAATAGCTCCCAGTTCCTGGGTGGACAGCCACAGCCATTCATTACAGTAGATGGGGGCCTCGATCGTCGGGTGGTACGCCAGTGCTACAGCCTCGGATCCATCTTGTTCCGGAACAATGGCTCCTTCTATCCATCTCTTGAGACTTTCACGATCCCAAGACGCAAACCCCTTGAGGTGTTCACAAAAGTGAACAGCAGCGTCGTAATTAGGCCTTCAAACAGGGAAAGAGATTATTTCCAATACAAAAAAGGATGGAATTCAACACTTGAAAAAAAGGATGCTTTTCAATAGTGAAAAGGTGGTATTAATGTACTTTGTCCCGTTTATTTGTATTACAGCTGTGTGTGTTACAACATACTGATATTTTAAGACATCCTAGTATGACACGAGACGGCACATTCACCAACAGGCGCTGAACCGCAGTCATGAGCGACGATAAACAGGATCCAGAGGTTTCACCGCCTGAGGGTAATACTGCTAGCGTCACACATAGCTCCTTCCGGTTTATCTCAACACATTTTACGGAAGGTGCAGCTGTTACAGCGCTACACAGTGCTGATACATCTGAATACAGCCATCTACGCACGTATGGACCGACAGAACGTCGCAAGAGTGTCTACACTTGCATTTTGAATGAGGCGTGCTCTCGTCGTCTACGAATCCTTAAGATTTCATAGTTCTGCTCTACCGATTCCACAACGACTTCTTCATGCGAAGCTGGAGCTAGTGGTACCCATAGCCAGTCGCTAACGCACCGAAAGAGATCTGGTATTGACATGCAGATAAAACTAGAGGTGGATAGCATTCTTCAAGGTGGCGCAGGTCCAAAACGATGCATACTTTTACAACAAAAGAAGTATAAACTTGACCCAACCATGTTGGCAAACCAAACAACTTCCAGTTCAAGACAGCGACGGAAACATCAGGTTGAGAAATTTGCCTCGCCGAGTTGTGGATTGGCAATCCATTCGGCTGGGCCAAAAGGTGTCTACAACTGGGCGGTTGTGCTCAACAATGGTGCGAGGCAATTGTTGGACGTGGATCAATTTCCTGCGCTGATTAACAAATTCATCACGAAGGGCTTACAGTTACAGAGCATCGTTTATTGACGAGGCGTGACGCACGACATTGTGGTGATAACCATAGTAGTTTCTAATACCACCTGTTCTGCATAATACATACAGAAGTATCGATTTCCATCCAATGGAAATTGTGTTGAAAAGCATCCGATTTTGTATAGCAGATAAGCCGCACCCTTCAAACAGCACATCTAAAAAGTTAGAGATGAGGATTAAGAAGTCAAATAACGAGTTGCTCGCGCACCAGCGATATTCTCGGTTCAACGTCGTGTTGAACATGAATTGTTGGGCCTTTGGGTCACGCGTTCCGGGTTTCTCCACGATCGGCTCGAAAAGAGCGAGGCCGTCAAACGTACCTGGGTGTTGGGCCTCGACACTTCAGAGGGTAGCTGCCCCAATCGAGTGGCCGACTCCAATAAGTGGTCGTCGCCCAAAGCCAGAATCGACTTCCTGTTGCTGATATTGCAATATCTCGTGGTGGATCTCGGCAGTATTTCGGACCACCCAGTTTCCCGCCGGATGCTCGACAGTAAGTGATACTTCGTCAACCAGTGCACGCACACTGTTGTCTCTTTTTGCCCCATGGAATGGCAGTTCCACACTTGCAAATTCCACATGTTGCAATAGCGGGGACTTCTTCAGCTGATTCTCGATTGGCTTCCAGACTCGCTTGCAGAAATTGGTGCCGTGTACAAACAGCAGGAGCGGGGATTTCGTTGGCATCACCATTTTGTTGCGGATAGCTGTTACTAGAAGAGCAAATTCTAAAATGGCACGCAAAACCTCATCCATCAAAACAGATTCGTCACGGCGAAGAGCGTGACGAGTCTTGCAGTACGATAGGTTTAAACTTGAAAACCTGTATTGTGGATTTGTGGTTGGTTGTTTAGCTGAACCGGTCAGCGGGTAATGACAAAGAAACAGCTAAAAAAAAACGGTGTCTGTGCTTCTAGTTGTACTACAGCCTTGCAAAGACTGACCTGAAGCATTCCAGATTTTTAAGATCTGCGTGGATTGCTTTCGCACAAGCCTTCGGCTTCTCCATGATGAGGTTGTGCGTTGTGTTCTTCATCGGTGGGTGGTTCGTGTATATGTGTGGCCACTTTTGCTCGAGACGTGCAAAGTGATCATAGTCAAATAGCCACGTGTCATCGCTGCTGTGAAAAGTAACCGGACACGACAGACTCGATAGCTCCTCGTCACCCAACCATAGTCGTTCTCCGGAATAAGCCGCCGCTTCGATTGTCGGATGACACGCCAGCACTACAGCTTCTGACCCTTCCTTCTCCGGAACAAGGGCTCCCTCGAGCAAGCAGGCCAGCCTTTCTCGATGCCAAGTTTTAAAAGCTTTCACGTTTTTAAAGTACGTTTCGGCAGCTTCACGGGTCTCCCATCGGTGCTTCCGTTTGATGGCAATGTTGAAAATGTAGCGTTCGAGCTTAGGGTCACGAGGTCCGGGTTTGTGGACGTACGGCTCGAACAGTACCAATCCTCCAAACGTTCCAGGGTTTTGCACTTCGGCGTTCCAAAGTGCTGAGGCACCGGCAGAGTGGCCGATCCCACAATTGGCCGCTCACCGAGCATGGACCGAAGCCGTTGCACTTCACGAATAATAATCCCGGTGTTTAAAGTGACAAGGTTGTTGGCCGGATGTTTTGCGATGCCCACCTCTTTCTCGACAACAACAGGGATACTCTCATCGCGGTTGGATCCATGGTATGCGAGGTCAATGCTTACAAAATGGACGTCGGGTAGGACATTCAACAGCGGCAGTTCCTTGAGATGATGCTCGATCGGTCTCCAAATTTCTTTGCAGAAGTTGGTGCCGTGAACGAAAAGCAGGATCGGGGAAGTCGTTGTTGCTGAGTTCATTTCCTGGGTTGCTGTCGAGCTGGAGTAAATTTGTAAATGTCGCCATAGCCTCGAATCCCCATCCTCAAGCACCAGGGCTCGCAATCAGAGCTTGCAAACGCTATAGGTTCCATTGCCACAAGCTACCATTAAAATTCGAAAGTGAAAAGAAAAATAGATTCCTGTGAATTTCCAGCAAGATTTGTTTATGCTGTGAAATTATAAAAAAAAACTTTTAGCTAAATATCACTCTAAATTATTTAAAATCTCCAAATTTATGCTCTCTTTCTCAAGCAAGTTAAAAATTATTTGATTTTCTAAATGAACCTGAAATGATAGCACTCTTGTTGGCTGTATCCTTCATACCATCCGATTGGTAATTGGATGGTAACCAGGAGTTGGCGTGAGTCATTTACGCCATCATGGCAAGTGCTATCTCAAGCCCAGTCTATGGTAAGCTATCATGGAAATCCTTTCTTAAAAAAACCTGTAAAATATGTTGATGCTCTTAAAAGACAAATTAGAAGCTGCAAGATTCAATTAAAGTCACTATTTTCATGTTTTGGGCTGCTACACTTGCTTCAGTGCTCGCACGATATCCACTTTAGCATTAAAAGCACTCATCGTGGACCGCGTCCACGCCCTTTGATGAGGTTGTGCGTGCTATTTTCCATCGGCGGTTGGTTCTTGTAAATTCGAGACACTTTTTTTCCACAGTGGCAAAGGAAACATGATCAAACAGCCACGAACCACTACTGCTCTGGATTGTGGCTGGGCAGGCAACACTTGAGAATTCGTTATCTGATAGCCACTACCGCTGCACGCCAACACTACAGCTTCGGATCCTGGTCTATCAAAAACAACAGCACCGGAGACTCATCAAGCTGCTATGAACTACGTCAAGAGCTACGAAGGACTCACGGCCCGCGCGAGTCGCGGGAAATGCTGCTACAGTACTGTACATGTATCACGAGATGGCGTGAGTCATCCTCTTCAAACCAATTGCTGTCGCAGCAAAGTTACTTTAATATAAGCGTAATCAGAAATATGATTATTGCACAAAAAGTAGTTTCTGATACATACTCTACATGTACGTTTTGGTCTGGTCACAGCAAGAGACTGTCGACAATGGCGGCGTCCCCTGTGCTGCTTTTCGCACATGGTGCCGGCTTCTGCAAGGAGATCTGGGCTCCGATCGTCCACCACCTGCAGCAGCTCGTGCCGCGGCAACATGAAGCTGCGTTGGAATTTGTGAGTGTGGATCTTTCTTTCCACGGATCTTATCGGGACAACAGCGTCGTCGCTCAAGTCGATGATAACGGCCCCCATGTGACGCACCCTGCCAACAATACAATCGTATTGGCCTCCGTCGCTCTTCTGCACAAAGCCCGGCAATTTCGGGGTGCCGGTCGGCCGGTGATTGGGATCGGCCACTCGATGGGCGCAGCGGCCCTCTGGAAGGGGGAGATCAGCAGTCCCGGGACTTTTGATGCACTTGTATTCTTTGAGCCGATATATGGGCCACCAACGCCGATGGGTCCGAATCGCCCATACATTTTCATGGCAGACATCACATTGAAGCGAAAATGGAAATGGTAAGCTTCAATTCGACAGTACTGAATTGTGGTCAATAGCTTAGCTGGTTTATGGTTTAAGCTATTTGTTGACGCTGTAAACTGCGTTGTCTTGTGAAGCCGTCGAGAGAAGCAGCATCTATTTTCTTTGAGAACTGGAAGAGCTTCTCGTCCTGGGACCGCGAGAGTCTGGCATGTTGGATGCAAGGTGCCATCGTTCCCGACGAAACGGATGCCGATGCTGTCGTGTTGGCGTGTCACCCGACCGTTGAAGCATCGATCTATTGCGGCGGTCGGTTGTGGCTTTCAGAGGAAGAACAAGCTAAGACCAAGTGCCCAACCACATTTCACAGCGGCAGCACCACGAAAATGTATCGCCAAGAGATTTTCGAGGACATAGCTTCTTGTCATCCTGAAATATTTAAGACGCACGCCCCCATGGTGGGAAGATCGCACTTAATGGTGTTGGAGGACCCGGAAGGCTGCGCGAAGGCCATTGTTGCTGACCTTGAAACCTTAGGGTGCTTCAACGCTGCTGCCAAGTTGTAGCGTTTTTGGTCCAAAACAAAAGTTCCTACTTGGTATACAGTGAAACGACCAAATCAGTGTAATTCGCATTTTTATATGCTACTTCGGTGCTGAATACGCAGTTTGTGCCTCGATCGGTGTGTTAGCTTTTGACCGTGTGCTAGGATACAGCTCGACAGTGACTTTAACTTTCACTAACCGTACAGTACCTGCATGCGTGCGCGCACTTCGATTTCCCCGATTACATTACGCAGAAATGATTTCAATCAGGACTCATAATCGAGACCATTTTATACAACACTGAATTCGGATTTGCGTTTCACAAAGTCATTTACCATTCAGTAGTGCCAATGGCGACGTTGTTGTTCGCCCATGCCACGGGCTTCTGCAAGCAGGTGTGGGACCCAATTATTCGCCGCCTCAAGTGCTCGCCTCTGCTGCAAAATGCTGTGGACCAGTATGTGACCTACGACCAGCCGTATCATGGCGTGAATCGCGACAATTCCGTGCTAAGTCAAGTGTACTACAAGAACAACGACCCCAACGCTCTGCGTGTAAGGCACCCGATGAATAACTGGCCTGAAATCAGTGCAGATGCAGCGTGGGAGCAAGTGCAGAAGCTGCAGTCATCTGGAACCGAGCGTCGACCGTTGATTGGCATTGGTCACTCGATGGGGGCTGCTGCACTCTGGGCTACTGAGGCGAAACACCCTGGCACCTTCGACGGGCTGATACTTTTTGAACCGATTTATGGAGAGGTCGACGCAGAATATGACAAGAAAGCCGACTTCCTAGTGTCGCTCACATTGGCTCGTGAAAAGAAATGGTACGTGAGTTAAGGAAACCGAGCTGTGGGTTCAAGCAACTGAGCATAACTGTTTAGGTATTTACAACTTTTTTGGCTTCAATAGGTCCTCTATTGAAGCTGCTGTCACTCATTTCGAGAACTGGAAGAATTTTGCGAGTTGGGACCGCGAAATGCTCGCGAGCTGGATCAAGGGAGCAGTGGTGTTCGACCAAGACCAGCAGGCTGCAGTGCTTGCGTGCGACCCTCTCATCGAAGCGTCTGTATACGCCGGATCTCGACTTGTTTTAGCTGAAAACCAACTTGCTGCGCCACGATGCCCTGTCACATTTCATAGCGGAGACCGCACGAAGCTGTTTGATCGCAGTGTGTTCGACAAATTCGAGGCAACACACCCGGCCATCTACACGAACCACACTCCGCTACCTAAAACATCGCACTTAATGGTATTCGAAGATCCAGCAGCAGCAACCAACGCCATTGTTGCCGACCTCAAGAACCTCTCTTCCTTCCAAACTGGAAGCCAGCCTCTTCAAGCTCATCTGTAAATCAATCTGTCACGAAATCTGTGTATACAACCTACACAAAATACTTTTTTTAGGTTTTAGTCCTTCATGATCGTACCCAAATAAAAACGAGCGGCTCACATTTCCAATCATCAGCACAATGGCTCAAGTGGCAGCTAATGGCGCCCGTCAGCCGCTGCTGCAGCTACTGCGAGGTCCGAGCGGCAAACTTTGGGAGGTCTGCATTGGTCTAGAGGTTCATGCGCAGGTGCTGAGCCGCTCCAAGCTTATGAGCGGCTCCGCAGCGTCCACACTGTCGTCTGCACGACCCAATCGCAACGTCAGCTTCTTCGACGCGGCGCTACCAGGCACGCTGCCAGTCATTAACCGTGAATGCGTGCACCAAGCCATCCGCATGGGTCTCGCAGTGGACGCCACGGTGCATCCGCGCAGTTTATTCGAGCGTAAACACTATTTCTACTGCGATCTGCCACTGGGATACCAGTTGACACAACAGCGGGCGCCAGTAGCGTCTGGAGGTGCGCTGCACTTCGAGTTGCCAGAATCCGCCGTGGTAAGTGAACACGGAGGTGCACATAGTGACGAGGCCACATTCGATGCGTCTAAGTACAAGTCTAGAAAAGAGAAAAACGAGGCACTGAAGAAGTGGAAAGCCAAACAAGCCAAGAAGCAGCAGGTGCGAGGCAGATATGCGAGGGTATGACCTCGTGGAAAGAGAGTAACAACTCGCTGGTGGCTTTGTAGGATGTGATCTCGAGGAGTGTACGTATCACACGAATTCAGATTGAGCAGGACTCGGGTACGTAAAAAGGTTTTCTAAAAGGTGAAGATTGTGGGGCTCAAATAATGTCAACTGTAGGTAAAAGCAACCATGACTTGGAGGATGACAGTACAGTAGTGGACCTGAACCGTGCTGGTACGGCGTTGTTGGAGATTGTGATGGAGCCGGACCTTCGCAGTCCCGTTGAAGCGGGCCAAGTCATGCGTCAACTGCAGCATCTACTGCGTCATTTGGACGTGTGCGATGGAAACATGGAGGAAGGCTCTATGCGTTGTGATTTAAACGTAAGTGTGCGGCCGACGAACCTTGGAGCGGAGGCCGATGTGGAGTCACTTCACAACGCCCTGACGGCCAGAACTGCTGCTCCTTTCGGAGAGAGAGTGGAGGTGAAGAACATGAACAGTATCCGCAACATGATGCGAGCAGCAGAATACGAAGCCAGGAGACAAATCGCGTTGATTGAAGAGGAAGGCGGTGAGGTGCATCGGGAGACGCGCTCGTTCGATGCTGTCACTGGAGAAACCGTACGTCCGCTGTCCCTGTCACGCGCTAACAACGAGAACTAATGCCTGTGTGTTTTGCTAGAAACGTATGCGTTCAAAGGAGGGGGCCAAGGACTATCGTTTCTTCCCCGAGCCAGACCTTCCTCCTCTTGTTTTCTCGGAGAAACTTATCCAGGAGATCAGTGAGAGGATGCCCGAACTCCCTGAAGCACTGAAAGAGCGTCTATGTGCACAGTACGATCTCACGTCGTACGAAAGTTTGGTGCTGGTGAACGAGCCTGGAGCTGCGCCCTACTTCGAGACAGTTGCAGCTCAGAACTCTCGACCTTCCAAGGTGGTTGTGAACTGGGTGCTGAACGATTTATTCGGACACTTGAAGGCAGTCAACGGCGACATTGCCAGCTCTCCCGTTACAGCTACGGAGCTTGGCGCATTGATTGATCTCATTCAGGACGGTACGATCTCTGGTAAGATCGCCAAAGACGTATTAGAGCTCATGTTCTACGAGAACGAGCCGAAGAAGACACCATTGCAGATTGTGGAGGAGAAGGGATGGAAGCAGATTCAAGACCCCGAAGAGATCCGTGCACTCTGCCGAGCTGTGCTCGATGACCCAGTACGCTGCCATCCTAGTGTTATGATTTGTATTGTGTCTGTGACTTACATTGTGATGGTTTTGTAGAAAGCGAAGAAGAACCTGGACGCGTATTGGAAAGGAAAGACTCAGCTCTTCGGCTTCTTTATCGGTCAGGTGATGAAGCAATGTGGGGGTCGGGTGCATCCAGAGCTTGCAAACAGCATCATGCAGGAGATCCTGGAGGAGCACAAACAATAGATGGAGCATAGACAAGATGGTGTAAGTGGCTACAGTGTTGTACACAAAGCAAAATTACTACTTACGCATTAAACCGATCTCACTTGGACGATTCCAGGAGGTTATTGCAGTATTCCGTGCATCTGCAGCAGCTTCTTATAGATTAGTGCGAACAGCGCCACCACGATGGCAATAGTCAAATAGTGCAGAAAAGTGTCCACGCTGTCGGACTCGCGCACTGGAGCAAAATTATGAGCTGCAATGGGCGTGTCCACGTTCTCGTGGTGATAATCGACCACTTCCGGTGCAGCTTCTGCTGCTGCTGGTTCCTCGACAAATGCTGCATCAGTAGAAGCTGCAGACTCGGAAGCTTCTGTTGTTGCCACCTCCTCGGCCCTCGCAGGTTTGGTATTGGCAGATTTCTCTTCTTCAGCTCCAGTGGCAGCACTAGCCTCCTGTTTGCTGTCTTCATTGACCTCACTCTCAGTCTTCTTGTTATCCTTGGTCACATTGGCTGGCGCCGTCTCCAAGCTGTGCATATGCAACTGAGCGATCTGTTCCGCGTACTTGGAAGGTTTCTTCTCCTCTTCATTCCCTTCATGCTCCGACTCCAACTCCGGCAACAAATCCGCCACTCGTCCACACGTTTCGCACTTGTAGTCGACACTCTAAAATACAGTCACAAAAGTTTTAGAAACGCCTTCAAACGACCATTTCTAAAGTCCATTGCAACGCACCAGTTTGGCTAGTCTCCTGCGCTCTTCAGCAGGAAAGTCCAGCGCACCAATTGCGCCCTCGCCTTTAGTGGGCATAAAGCTGATTAACGCCTCCAGAATCAGTCGCACGCCCCACGCAGGTTGCCATTCTTCTGGATGGTAGGCCGAGATACTCAAGCAAATTTTCTTCTTCACTTCGAAGCGGCCATTGGGCTATAGAAATCCAGTATCGAAGTATCAGTACGAGTACCATTGACGTACATGTACAAGTATACGAGACTTCGTACCGTGAGCAGCATGATGTTGGGCGGCTTGAACGGGTAGTCCGACGGCAGGATGATGCGGCCGTGGTAGATGCCGCCCTCGAACTCTGTGTCACGTGGGCCACGCAATGTGAAGTGCCAGTCGAACATGTTGGTCTGAGCGTGAACAAGACAGAAGAGTGTAAGAGTGATGGTTGCTTGTGTTACCTTCTTGAAAGTTGCTGCCTACGCACCTCGAGTGGCGCCGCTGCGTACTGGTCGCTTGGGTTGGTCATCATCTCACGCACATCCTACATAAACGAGGGTGAGTGTTGCTGTTTAAGGGACGTTTAAACGAGTGCAGATGCACGTACGCCCTGGATGCGCTTGATGGCGGTGTTGCGCACACTTGCCGCCATATTCGGTGTCTTTTTGAACTGACGCGTCATAATCAGACGACGTGTTGCGTGAATGTTTCTCGAATTTATCGGATGACATTAAAAATAAAAAAGCTGTACTCTATTGGCTGAAATCTCTTTGAATTTCAATTTTGGCAAACTCCACGAAGAAGATGAAAATCTTGTGGGATCGCGACGGGGTTGCCGGCGGGCCCAGCTCAATAAAGGTCCTACTGGACTGGCTGACAAGTGAACGCAACTATGCTAAGTGGAAGGGAGAGGATGGTTCGTACGGCTCGACAAAGGAAGCACTTTGTGAAGTAATTATCGACAAGTTGAAAGAAGTTGGCATCACGCACAGGAAACCCGCAGACGTGCGCGACAAGATTCGGTATCTTGAAAAACAATTCCGCAGAGCTGTGGAGTGGACAACTAACGCAGGACAAGGAGTTAGTGATGATACTACGATTCGGCCCGCCATTCTTCAGCTGTGCCCCTGTTACTACCAACTCGCCCGAGTGATGGGCGACAACCCTCCTTCGGAACCCTGTCAAACAACAGGCAACTCGAATGACGATGGTGATAATCGAAATCGAAAACGACCATTAAGTGTTGCTGAGATCACTGGCAACAAGAAACAGCACGGGTCCATGTTGCGAATTCTTCCAAAACCCCATGAAATCGGTCAAAAAACATGTGACAAAGGAAACAGAACGCTGCTAGAACTCCACGGGCCTAGCCAGCAACCACGTGAGAACGGGAACTCAACGTGCCTAGAACGCCGCGAACCCAGCCGACACGCACGTGGGAGCAGTAATACAACGCTGGCAGAAGTCTGCGAACCTAGTCAACAAGCGCTTGCCGGTGGTAAGACAACCCTACTAGAACTTGAAGAGAAGAGGCTCGAGCTCGAGTTGAGACGAGAGGCTCGTGAGGAAGCTCAAGCTAAGGCAGAGGTGGAACTTATCCACGCTAAACGACGATCCGTGGAAATCGACAACACAACGCGACTGCTGTTAGCAAGAAAGCAACTCAAAGACGCCGGTTACACTGACCAAGAGATCGATGCGCATTTACCACTTAACAACTCAAGAAAATAGATCAGGAAGGCACTTAATTATATTTTTATCCCGAGCTTACAAGCAGTCGTTGGGAATTCCAAATTTTAAATCAGTCGGCTTTCCATTTGATGGCCATCACTTACAGTCCCATGCCAGTGTGTGAAATTTGCACACTGGTCCCAGCTTTTGCCACTCAGGAATCGCAAACAGACGCGGGATCGAGCGCTCATGCGTGCTGGCTGCCTTTGACTGACCCGAGTTCCGTTGATGGAGCAGCAGTTTCGACACCAGGGCGCTGGAAGCACCAGTGATTTGCGCCTTCATCAATCAAAAGCAACCATTTTGCGTAAAAGATCCCGCACTCAGCGGAAACCACCCATCGGGATCGCACTTCAACGTAGTAGGCGATCTTCCAGCTTACAAAAAGCAAGACAGGACGCTATTGCGCCCTTTCGAGCTTCCTGGCCACATTCGCCGACAATTACGTAACGGTCACTAGTCCAAAGATAGAAATCCTAGATCGCGTGCACACAAACTGCCCCTTTAATAGGCGCTGATAGACACTACAGACGAGTTTCGCAACGGCCTTTGGCTCTGGTCTTTCCACCGATTGCAACGGCAGTCCCTTTGATCGAAAGAAAAAAAACGGATAAAAATAACTCCTGTCCCTGACAGAATTCGCAGTTCGGCCAGCAGTGGATCCCACACTATAAAAATAGCTCGGCACCTCCAAGCTCGATAGCTACCTGGTATTTCCGGCACTCCTGCTTTTGCCCAGATATAAATACCGGCTAAATTCTACAGCGCTATTTCCACGAGGTAATCAACGGCGTGATGATGCCTCTAAATCCTCTTCTAACTCTCTCCTTGACAGCAGAAACTAGACCACAATGGGCCGCAAGAAGATCCAGATCAAGCGCATTGAGGACGATCGCAATCGCCAAGTGACTTTTGCCAAGCGCAAGAATGGCATCTTCAAGAAGGCCATGGAGCTGTCCAAGCTCTGCGACTGCGAGATCGCGCTCATCGTGTTCGACTCGAACGAGAAGCTCTATCAGTACTCAAGCACCAGTGTGGACCAGATCTTGCTCAAGTACACCGAGTACGGCGAGCCCTACGAGACCAAGGACAACAACGACGTGAGTATCTATCGGCACACGGTTGAGACCCTGGATCACATGACTGATATTTTGACTTTTGCAGTATGAAATTATGTTCGGAGAGAAGAAGAAACAGTTGCAACAAGCAGCCAAGGAGGCAGCAGCGGCAGCAGCAGCTGGAGCCAATGCTGAAGCAGCCAACTTCAATATGGGCCACGGATCGACTTCAAACGGAGCTGCGGTGCAGTCGTATCAGACCATGCACGGAGGCATGAACGGTGCATCATTAGGACTCACCAATGATCCTGACCAATACATGCTCAACTCGCGCAGTCGACCTCCGACTCAGAAGAAGCGAGTGCATCGCGGTTTCCAGCAACTTCTCAAGAAGGAGCACGGTGGTTACGTTCCTCCGTCGCTTCCTTTGTATCAACACGGGGTAAGTAGTTTTTTGGTATCGATAATGAATTCCATGAATACTAACTTGGTTGTCCGTAGATGGGAATGATGGGAGGGCTCTCAGGTCACCACATGCTAGGACCACTACCCAGTCCGCCCAACCTCTCGGGTATTCTCCCGTCTCCAACAAGTACGTTTTGTAACCAACATGAGCTCGTTCATGTCGGAAAAAAAGTTTTGGCTAACTTGAAACTTGAACATTGTCGCAGCCGGCATGCTCATTCACGATTTCAGCCCCCAAAATGCCGGTCTCTTTGGTCACCACCCGATGCTCAGTGGAGGCATGACGGGAGACTTCCATGACAACAAGAGCAGTGTGCTAGGTCTCAATTTAGTTCCATCGGATTTCAATCACGGTGGAGCCGGCAGTGTTCACCCGCAGCAACTCCAGCAGTCGAAGGAGCAATACTACGCTCACAGTAAGCAGACTGACTCGCCAGAGAAGTCCTTGGGTGATCGTCCAGGCTCTCCTGAGGCGTCTGGAGACAAACCCTCCGACGAAGTTGTGTGCAAAGTAGAAAAGCCTACGGAGAAGGAGCAGTCACGGCAAGACGACGAGTCCAATAATGAAGATTCACAGTCTGCTAAGGAGAATGAGACGACTGACAAGGCTAAAAGTCTGTCACCGAAGCGTGAACCAAAAGAGGTGAACCGCGATGACTCCCACGCTCGCTCCAATCCGTCCAAGGCTGACGACGTCCTTGATGCGTCTCCAACAAAGGCTCCGACGTCAGAGTCACGAGCGGCAAGTAGCACCTCGGAATCGAAAGCGTCCAGCAGCTCTGACACAGAGAAGCGCCCACGTTCAGAAGTGCGAGGATCAGCGTCGACAAGTCCACACAAGCGTCAACGTGTGGCTGTTTGAATTTTTTTAGTAGTAACGCAGCTTTGCAGCGTATACCTTGAAATACTAGTTCTCGCTCGTTTGGGCAAAATAAACGATTGTCGGCAACTCCCTTTATACTTTGCAAGCACGAACAATAATTATAGCAAGGAAAATCGTTCAAAGGCAATCTGCTGTTTCCGTTATCTCGCCCGCAACTTCTCGCAGCGCGTCCCACTGATCTTTAGAGAGCGAAATACCCTTCTTGCCAGGTTTCGACACGCCGTCCTGATCGTAAAACCCACGGAGATCAATCAACACCGCGTTGTTGAAGTAGCGAACCGTAACACGGCGTTTGCTCGACAGCTACGATACATCCAAACAAAAATCGTATTAGTTGCAAGAACTGTACTCACGTTACAACAAATGAACGCACCGGCAGCGCGATGGCTCGGACGTTTCCGTCTGGCCTCAGAATGCAGCCCGGTACACCAGCGAGTGACTCAATCCCCACTTTGTTTTCCTCCACCAACTCGATCGCTTCTGCAATTGCATCTGAGAAGCCAAAAAGCTTTTCCCACTGATCGGGCGAGAGCGAGATACCTACACATTCAGACACCCCACGATACTCAATCTGGCAGCCCAATAGACCGCACAAACACTAGTTTTCAACCTTTTTTGCCGGGTTTGGCTTGCCCCTTGTCGTCGTAATACTCGCGAATGTCCACGAACTTCATCCCCTTCCACTTGCGCACAGTTACGCGGCGTTTACTCGACAGTTCGAACACCACCTCACCCTGTTCCGTTGTTTTACCGTGAGTTTTAGTCTGTGTCGGCAGCTGCTTCTTCTGCGTCTTGGATTTTAGTTCCGCCACTCGCTTGGCTTTCTGCTGCGCTGCGAATCTCGCTAGCGGCACGTCCGAGTCTTCTGATGCTTGTGAGAGCGACAGTTGCGGCTCTGTCGCTGCCTTTCGGGATAGTAGATCCGTCAGCGACAGCGACGGACGCGTTTGAATTTCGGTCTTGACACGCTTCGGTGCTTCCGCCACCGACTCTGCCGGACGCTTTCGCGTCGGCGCCTGTGTTTGCTGCAAGGTCGACATGTTGGCGGGAACGAATGGATTTGGCGGGTATCAGAAGAAATGATTGACGTTTTATATTTAAGGTACGTTTTTTGTCAAGTGATGTTTCTTGTTAAAAGGTGCTGTTTTGGACAGTTACTTAAGAAAGTCACATGGTACTTAAGAATCGCGCACGGAAATTTTGAGTAGAACGCACAATAATTAAAGTACATGTATTGTGCTTTGCAGATATGTCCATCCGTTTTATAGCCTAGATCGAGCATGGTCGGATCATAAAACCACGCGTAAAATTGGATGGGAAGAGGCAGGCATCGATTTGTTATATCTGTGATCAAAATACCGGGTTCAAAACGGCAAAAAGGGTCGATTTACAGGATATCGATGTGGATTTGGTGGTTGATCGATTCCGAGCGGTCGATTTGACTATCGTTGCTCAGCATAGACCTCGATTTAATAAAACGACCTCTATTTATTAAAAATCGAGCATCAGGCTAAGTGAAAAGGACAGAAGCATTGAAATACACAATAAAATAAAAACACAAGCTCGGTTTTCGGGACAGTACCGGTATTGCGAAGAGAGGGCTAAATCGTAATTCGTACTTTCTTTCATTTCGTTTGACGCGGTCTCAGAACATTTTTTCAGTGCCCTGCAGGACAAGCACCCGGTCACCTTTTTTATAAGTTGGTGATCAATACTGTTGCTTTATTATTCTCTGACTCCATTTAACACCAAATAACACGCACGACTGCTGGACGCTAACTTACTTCATGTCGGTATCGGGTGCAATAGGGTTGAATGGTGCAGGCTTTTAATTCTTCGGGGCAATGGCGACTTGTCCGGATCCTAATGAACTCGATGAGGAATGTGATCCCAACTGGGACGAAATACTGGAAAACGCTGAGCTAATCGGGAAGCAGTTGGTACCCTGGAAAATATAAACAGAGACACAAAAACTTAATTAGAAACCAAAGACCTAAAAGACCTCAGGTTCAGTTCCGCTTGCCCTACAGTACATACCGGATTACATGGGACATTGAGCGGATGTGTGTGTACTGCCTGCATTCCGCTTGAGACTGCTACTTGTGGATCGTGCGGGTTGAGGAGCTGTCCGGACGGGTTCATATGCTGGCTGGGCTGCATAGCAGCAGCCGCGGATCCAAGATGCGAGTATTGAAGACACGTCGCCAACTTGCTAACTTCTTGCTGCAGTCGATCCCGATCCCGACGTAGCTCATCACGTTCTCGCTTCAAGCTCTTAATAGCCGACACAGCTTCCTGCAAGATCGCACTCTTACGAACTCGATTCGAGAGTCCCAGCAAGTCGACTAGCTCTTCAAACTGTAAGAGCACACACGTTTTGTCAGTTTGACGAATCTAAAGAAAGAAATATCACAACACACATACCTTGACATTCACCTCTTGCCGTCGCATCTTTTCACGTGATTTCTTCCGGTATCCTCGGTCGTTTTCCGGTGTCGGTGACGGTGCACTCACTATCGCCGTGCTGCCAATCGTCGAACATCCGCTAGGGTCGCATGCCACGGTCATGAAGTCAAAATCACTGGTAAGCTAGTAAGCAAATCGCATACAAACGCCACCACTCTCCACACAGACATGAAAAAAGAGTGTTTCGTACCGTTTAAACGAAGCGGTCGCTCCGAAAGTGTTCATATCGTCGTCGTCATTGCTCAAAATGTTTTGACATTGCGAGCTTGGCACCTTCGGAGCAGCAGGTTTGATACTGCCACCAAGTGAAGAGGCCGCTTTGGCCCCAGCCGAACCCGCGATCGGCAACGCCGCCACTTTCCTGTGTTGATCCAGACTGAAATTCGCCAATTCTATCGCATCTCTCGCCGTTCGATTTATCATTGCCACATCCGGTTTGGCACTTGCAGGGGTCAATCCAGTCTGGAAAAGATTGGCGAAATCCTTCGTGGGCGAGCCAAAACCCAGTCCTACTCCGAGTCCATTGCCATGCTTCAGCATCTCCGAGATACTGGCCAGTGGCGGAGAAGTCAAATGCTGAGGGTTTGACATAGTTGCAGCTCCAGAAACGCCAGTATTTCCTGTGGCATGAGCGCCTGCTTCCTGCTTGAGGTTTTGCTGCTGCTCCTCATCCGTGTAGCCCAATGAAAACCCCTTCCAGTTTTCATTAATGTCTGTCTGCAAGAAATACTCGCCCAGGTCCTCTATCTGCAGCCCCGACATGTCCTCGTCAAAGTCCATCGTCAGATGCTCCTAAACTTATAAGAACGGGCACATATAGAGAAGTTAGAATGATCGATGCGCAACCACTCATTTACTCCGCACCAGTTGCACAATACTCGGCAAGAGTGAGAATGTCACAGCAATTAGTTGCCTTTACCTTGTCGCAAACGGTGTTGCGCCTCCCAAGCGCTGGCTCACGGCGACACTCACAATTTGCAGTGGCAGAATGGTGCAGCTAGCGAAAAAGATGTGGCCGTCGGAATCCTTGCCCCTCGTGCGTGGACCGAGCAAGCGTCCGTGGCGTCGGCGGGTTCGGACTGTGGCATCATGGCGCACATGAGGACAATGACATCCAGCCAATAGAAGCACCAGAAATAAATTTTCGACCAATTGCCGACCGGCGGACGCGTGCCTCGAAAGGTGGAGAATAGCCGAGACGAAGGTAGATGCGCGGTTTGTTGCACCCTAAAAGTTTACTCAAGTACATGTCTGTATTAGGTTTAGATTCGATGCTGCTTGCTTTCGAAGAACCATGATGTTAAAATGGAATTGGTTGTAGCAGTATATTAACTCTTGGTGATGGTAAATTATAAGAGCAATAATTAGGGTACCGGTATCGCTCAAACATTTTCAGTGCATCAGCAACACAATCAGTCGATTACGGAACGCTTTTGATATTGTAAGCCGGTAACTCAAATGTTGGACAGCAGCAATTGGCGGCTCTCAACATTCCATCGCTCGGTTTGATATTTGCTTGTATTTTTGTATTAAAACAACATTTACGCGTCCTAGCGTTTGTTTATCAGTAGATCTATCGAGATGCTTAGACGACCGAGCTATCTTCCACTTTAACAGAATTCGGACCGTCTGATAATCGGACGACAACAAGCCCTTATTTAATGATTTACAGTAAAAACATTAATCTCTATTGCTGTAGAACGCTGGTTGATAATTGCATGTACCTTGAAAGAAAAATCTTTCAGATATCATCCTTATTGTCGAATTTTAAATCCTTTAAGCTGTTCTGTAGGATAAGAGACACTACCTGGCAGGGTAAAATCGTATTATACTAACATCTATGAAATCGCAAGATCAAGTACCTAAAGCATTTGAGCGAGGCTGGGCTGTTTTAAGATAACAGGAAATTTGGATTCGAAGGACTCACTGAATAGGACCAAAAACGGCAAATTTGGTCGGAATTTATAATAAAAAGGTTAGCCTTCGTTGTATTCGCGCATGAGCCAGGTCGTAACAGCAGCTTCAAAAGTGCCTCAAAAGTGCCACTTATAACATATCAAATCCACCATTTTGTCCTGCCGATAAAAATGCTGAGTTTACTTGAGCTGGGTACGTCTTTTTCCTTAGCCACCGGTGGCAGTGCATGCTCTGTTCTAACGAACACAGCGCCGTACAAATTCAATTTTTGTCATTTTATTATTTTTATTTATTTTTTTAGTAATTATATAAAAATAATAAAATATATCTTCCGAGCGTCTGATAGAACAAAATGAATTGTGTTGGCCATGTTAAAATCTATTTTGTTCTCGAAGTCGCATAGTTCCACTGAAATAATTTTGGACCATCGGATTTGTTTTTAGGCACTCGTTATTTAGCCCAATTGAGAGAAATGAGACGAGGCAGTTGTGCCTTAAGCATGACCGGTTGATTGAAGAGCCAGAACCGGTCATCATTAGACGCGCAGTCATGGTATACGCGCTCGCCACGTATAGTCGGATACATTTTAGTAGCAGGTGATTGGTCGCCATAGCGTATTTGCGGTGACCACTACATGCACTTACGTTTGTCGAAGTGTTGTCGTCTCGCCATGAAAGCAAAATATAATAGAAAACTTTGCACTGTAACCGTTTAAGCTGTAGATTCAAGTGAGCAGCTTGTTTAAAATTTAAAGCCACATGGATAGATACCTGTATCACAGGCACTGAAGCTCCTTTCTGTTCAGTAGGCTGAGCGCATCAGCGCCAGCAAAAATTTCAAATGCTGTGAGGACATACATGCCACAGTTGTAGTTGTCCGCCTACACGCCGAGCTCGCTTGTTTTATGATGATCGCGATACTTTCTAGGAGCATAGTCTGGAAGTAGAGTCGTCAGTTTTTCTGCTACCGCACGAACTTGAACACCGTAGGCTGACGACATCGGGTCGTAGATAGTCAGATCCTACTGGGCACCGTCAATCATTATGCTGCACCAATGCAACGAATTGCAGCATAGCGGAATCAGGATATTCTCTGAGGACACGCCAACGAATATATTGGCTAAGTCTCGTAACGGTACTGACATCGAGCCATCCACTACCGGCCCGATTACACAGGGCCTGATAACCACAACATCCGCTCTCGCTTCGAACAGCTTGGACATGACGCAATCTACTGTACCGTCACTCAGCTGTCCTCTGCCAACAAGCTTAAGCACCTCAGTCTGTATTCACACAAAAACCGTAGAAAAGTAGCTAGATAAATTTGCTTTAAAGGTTCATATACTGATAATACAATGTACCTGGACCGAGAGAAGCCCAAGCGACTTGATCTGACCAAGCAGATCGGGCTCCGGCGAAATGCGGAATGATATAGGCATAGAAATTGTAAGGTCAATGGCTTCGACCCAGGTAATACGCCTTCTCCCTCTGCTTAATTGACTTCATTGCTCGATGCCACTTTTTCATGATTGCCAGTGTTTCAGTCGCATATTCTTCATAGCCAATAACGTCTAAACCCACGTCCGTTTGTGATAGCCCTCTGTGTTTTGACTGCAGAGCAACCACTTTTTGATCGCACGTCCTAATGAATTCTGGCCTAATAATACGCGTGATTGTTTCGGGATGTGTCAGCGGTTTTGTGGGAGGTAATTTTGATCTTTGTCGCGCAGTAGGTACTCTCATTTTCTTGCCATACTCAAACTTCTTGAAACGGGAGGGTAATTCTACTGCAGAATCGTATGCTGGCTCTGTTGATGATGCCGTTTGCACAGATGAAAGACTGAGGTTGGAGCGGTACATCTCGGAATACTCCTTCGCAGTCTCCACTGTCTTCTTGCGCGCGGCCTTTTTAGCCTTCGCAGCTCGCTTTGGTCGACCTCGCGAATTTGGAGGGCTTGCCACTTTAAATGGTCTGTCATCAGCAGGCTCCAGGGTGACGCATGTCTGCGAATCAACTGCAGTTTCTCCAATTGCAAGTTCATCCGATAATTCCCGACTCACGCGACTGGACCGATTGAGAGCCCGACTGGACCGAATGGCCCAATTGAATACCTGATTCTTTTGAGTGATCACCTGTGCCCTCTCCTGTGTCGACCATTGGAGCACTTGAGATCATGGTAAGAAGTCCGCGCTGTTCTTCTACAGAGGGGCCACCTTCCGTGTCTTCAGCGGGTAAGGAATGGCTGGTCACGCAATTTAAATGGTCTCCCCCCTTGCTAAAAATCACCTTTTTTGAACTGTCGAGCCACTTCCTGCAGATATTTCACTGCCTCACGATATTGCGGCATGCCAAGACCCGCCATCACGTCACGAGTCTCGGCTGCAATAGGCAAAGCTTTACGGTACTTGCGATTTGGGTCCCAGGGTCGGTCTTTCGATGTCAAGATGGGCTTCATTGCAAACAACTCGGACGGCGGAACAGTGTCGTTTGACTGCTCAAATTGCAGTACAGACCGTACTGTAGATATCACCCACCGGCGATGCAACATTTGGGTTGGAATCACAGTCTCTAATCGGAGAGCATCTCGGATGAAGAATACATGCCTACATGGCAGAAGGCGAGTACTCACGAACAAACAGGAGCATTTTCCATCTCGCCTCGTCACTGAATGTTCGGAATTTATTTCATCGAGCGCGTTGTCACCTGAGCATATACTTCTGATGAAATAAACATTAGGGCATCCTTCGTAGAAAGTGTACGATGTACGTCCAAGTGCGTAGACGTACTGCTCGTGGATAAGATCACACGCGTGCTCGCTAACAATATTAGCCACCAGCGTCATCTCTCCATTGAAGGCTTTGATAGTTCATGATGGAAACGATGCACTCATCTACAGCTATGAAGCAATCCACTCATTCTTTTAGCTGCTTCCACGAAGATTCCAATCTATTGTTGGTATTATTTCCCAGTGTCACAGTGTTCTGCCGCTTGTGAGCACACCACAGCTCTCGACAATTATCCCAAATTTTGCATAAGTATGCCAGGGATGCTCGTCACGATTCGCTAGCTACACTGCTTTGCGTATTCACAGCCTCTAATGATGTACCCGACTCATAACCCTGTACCCGACTCATGACCAGCTGTGCCCGACTCATTGCCAACTGTGCCCGACTCGTGCTCGATCGAGAGATTTGTCGAAGCGTGCCCAAGGGACGCTAAATTAACCATGTGCTTGAAGTGCTTCTTGTACTTCGATTCCGTGCTTGCGTAGACGAGCAAACTCATAACACCATCGTCTGCCATGAGTTGAAGCCGTAAGGCGACGACGCAATCTCTTTCCGCAGATACTTCAACACGTGAAATTGACAGAGTAAAACTGTCACACCAGGGAAAGCTTTCTCCAGCACCGATAATTCGGTGAAATCCTTGTCGATAAGAACGCACTGGAGCTTGGACCACGTGGGATTGCTACTTTTGAACTCTTCCAGGGCCGTGAGCAACGTCGGATATGGTTCATTCTGAAGTAATGCATGCTGCACAAACTGCCCCTTTCCGACCGTATCATGTGCCATGAAAGAGAAAATCTTCTACTTGGAACGATTCGTACCGTAGTCGCATCAATCAACAGAACTTCTGGAAATTGGTCGAGCAAAATCCGCATGTGCTTCGTTTGAAGTGTGATACACGCTGTTTCTGTCAGTGCAAGCTAGCATTGCATTTAAGCGTAAACGAAGCTAAGTGGCCGCAATATTAATATCTTATCAATCACCTCATCGATGAAAATGCGACCCACATTTCCTTTTTGTGTGCCAAACTCCATCATCGACCTTTTCAACCGTTTCCCACTATTTGTGAGGCCATGC